GAGTGTGAGTATAATTCACAGAAGAAGACGTTTGAGTCTAAGCAGAGTCTAAGCAGCTATAGAAGAACATCGAAACACCTCAGAGGTCAGAGCGATCCCTTAACGCAGTTAAAATGGTCAGTGTTGATGTTTGTTTTTGCTTTTATTTCTAGGATGGGCAGAGTGGAACGCAGCCAACAAGGATGATGAGCCTGAAGAGTAAGACATTAAGGCTGTAGAATTTGTACTTTTGTTTTTTTGATGATGTAGAGACTACTGTTGGTCTTGTCTTCGATTGTCAGAGTGGTGGAAGAAGCCGCTGACCGTGTCTTCATGGCCGCTCGTCTCTTTGTCCGTTTCTTCAACCAACGCGGTGCCTCCCTTCAGCAGCGTATCCTAGAGCTCCTGTCCTTGGCTGACATGGCAGACAGTTTTCACAAGAAAACCGTGACTGCCAGTGTCGGGGGTGGAGTGGCCAGCGTGGCCGGCTCTATCACCACCATCACCGGCCTCATCCTGGCTCCCTTTACGGCAGGGACTTCCCTCATAGTCATGGCTGTGGGAATTGGTGTAGCCACAGCGGGCGGGCTGACATCAGCCTCTGCTAACATCACAGACACAGTTCACTCAAAAACCGACCGCCGTAAGGTGGAGAAGATGATAAAGGACTACGAGGAGGAGATGAAGGACATCAAGGAGTGCCTGGAGTTTTTGCAGGTAAGAGATCACGTTTCCAGGTGGTCTAATCAAGAATTTGAAAATGAGCGGCTGACATTACTTAAGTCCTTCTTAGACTTTTAATGACTTGTGAAATAGATCTCCTCAACATCAAACTCAAGTTTAGTTATGACGTGGAAAGTAAGTATAGTTCAGAGCTCAACAATACTTTTGCTGCTGCTTCTACAGGAAGGTATGGAGACACTAGAGGAATGGGATTTTGAAAAGTATGCTGAAAGCATCTCAAAGAAGCACCTGAACCAGAACGTCAAACACGTCATGAAGGAAGGCGGCAGGGCTGGGAAGTCTTTAGTGATCAACACCGAGAGCTTGATCAGCACTGTGCAAGTTCTCAGTGTTGCTGGTGGCGCAGCCAAAGCAGCACAGGTGATGAGTGTCACCACGGGGGTAATGTCGGGACTCTTCTTGGCTCTGGATGTCTTCTTCCTGGCCAAGGACTCCATGGAGCTGAGGAAGGGGGCCAAGACCGACTTTGCAGCCAAAATCAGGGAAGTTTGCAAGGACCTTCAGGACGGGCTGCTCCAGCTGAACAGCATCAAGGAACAGCTACAGAAAACCATGGATGGGATTGAGGTGGAAGTAGAAGAGGAGGATGAAGAGCAGCTGAAGTCTGATCTCAAGAAACTGGTAGAGCTTGAAGAATAAAGTTGCAGGGGGCTGACTAAGTGGGACTGTAGGAGAAATTGAGATGACTTCAACACTAAATGTTGTTGATTAGTATTTCACATTTCCACTACCTGCACCAAATCTGAATGATTTTACCCCCCACTACAGAGATGTTGCTGATCTGCTGCTGCGTCTGTCGCCAAGTTGAAATGAGGTTATTAATAACTCTGAAGTTTTAACATCCTCATTGGCCTTAACGTGACAGACTCAAAACACCAACACTTTTAATGATACTCTAGAACTGAAGAGTGAGACATTTACAAACTGAAGTCCTAACCCCAGAGAGGTCTAACTGTGATTGAAAGCAGCAAATTCAGTAATTCAATTAAAAGACTATGAATACAATAAACATCTCCTACTTAATCAGAACACGTCTTTACTTTGAACAAACTGCTTTGTAGATATGTATTTTTAGTATTTTTTTTGTTTTAAGAGCAACTTATTAATCATAAAATATTTAATTACTATTGTATTTTAAACGTCTG